AAGAACTTATCATCCCGCCAACTGGAAGATGGAAGATTGAGGAGGTGCAGATCAATTTTTCGCTAGATATTGCCCAAGAGATATTGACTATTCCTTTTAATGAAACACCCCAGGTTGATAGAATCAAATAGAAGTTTACAAGCAATGGAGTATATTCTGTAAAAAGTGGGCATCCTATGCAAGCACAAAGAGCTCAAACACCTCAAGTTAGAGCCATTGCCTCCTCATCTTATCAAACTCCAGAAGGGCTATGGAGGAGCATTTGGAAGAGTAAGGTTCACCCCAAAATACAAGCATTTATGTGGAAAGTTGCAAATGGAGCATTGACAACTAAATGAGAGCTATGGGGGAGAAAATTGTCAAATTCACAACTTGCTCCATATGTGGAGAGGAAGAAGAGACCACTGAACACTTGTTATTACTTTATCCATGGGTGCAAAGGATGTGGATGAATTTCCCCTTAAGCATTAAGATAGATAGATATGACATAAGTAGATTTAAGACTTGGTTTATTAGGTAGCTACAAACTAGAAATGTGTGTGGTGAAGGAGAATAGGGGGGCCAAACTCTACTAATATACCTATGTTGGTTCACATGGAAGTCCAGGAATGATTGGGTTTTCAACCATAAGAAGTCATGCAGTAATTTTGTTATTACAAATGTTGTAACAATAGTGGAAGAGTTAAACAATTGCAAGGTTGTACCTAAAAAGGGTGGGAACTCCTCTGGTGAGCTTGAAATGGCCTGGCAATTGCCTCCTTAGGAGGTTTTGAAGATTAATTGCGATGGAGCTTGGATGGAAAGGACAAATGAAGGAGCTTATGGTATCATAGTTCGAGATTGGGAAGGCAAAGTGATCATGGCGGAGGCCAAAACTGTGGTAACAGCTTCTGCCTTAAAGATAGAGGCTTATACAGTCAGNAATAACCATTTTTAAATTTTTTGCGACGAGTTAGTTTATTGCAAAAGAGCAAATTTGTTGTAGTGAGTCCAAGAACTTATCATCCCGCCAACTGGAAGATGGAAGATTGAGGAGGTGCAGATCAATTTTTCGCTAGATATTGCCCAAGAGATATTGACTATTCCTTTTAATGAAACACCCCAGGTTGATAGAATCAAATAGAAGTTTACAAGCAATGGAGTATATTCTGTAAAAAGTGGGCATCCTATGCAAGCACAAAGAGCTCAAACACCTCAAGTTAGAGCCATTGCCTCCTCATCTTATCAAACTCCAGAAGGGCTATGGAGGAGCATTTGGAAGAGTAAGGTTCACCCCAAAATACAAGCATTTATGTGGAAAGTTGCAAATGGAGCATTGACAACTAAATGAGAGCTATGGGGGAGAAAATTGTCAAATTCACAACTTGCTCCATATGTGGAGAGGAAGAAGAGACCACTGAACACTTGTTATTACTTTATCCATGGGTGCAAAGGATGTGGATGAATTTCCCCTTAAGCATTAAGATAGATAGATATGACATAAGTAGATTTAAGACTTGGTTTATTAGGTAGCTACAAACTAGAAATGTGTGTGGTGAAGGAGAATAGGGGGGCCAAACTCTACTAATATACCTATGTTGGTTCACATGGAAGTCCAGGAATGATTGGGTTTTCAACCATAAGAAGTCATGCAGTAATTTTGTTATTACAAATGTTGTAACAATAGTGGAAGAGTTAAACAATTGCAAGGTTGTACCTAAAAAGGGTGGGAACTCCTCTGGTGAGCTTGAAATGGCCTGGCAATTGCCTCCTTAGGAGGTTTTGAAGATTAATTGCGATGGAGCTTGGATGGAAAGGACAAATGAAGGAGCTTATGGTATCATAGTTCGAGATTGGGAAGGCAAAGTGATCATGGCGGAGGCCAAAACTGTGGTAACAGCTTCTGCCTTAAAGATAGAGGCTTATACAGTCAAGCGAGCGTGTAAGACTACTGTGGAATAGAGCTATGGTGCAGTCATTGTTGAATCTAACTTAAAGCATCACATTGATTCTCTCAATGGGAACAATGGGGATAGTTTGAAGGGGATTACAGCTTTACAAAAGGACATATGAAGCTATGTTCAATTATTCTCAATGGTGAAATTTCAGGTAACACGAAGGACCCAAAACAAGGCTACTCATATGCTTGCAGCCTATACTAGAAGTGAGAAACTTAATGTACAAGGGAAGGATTGCCCCCTCCGCCATCTGTGATGCATATTGTTAGATTGGAAGTTAAAAGAGGAGTAGGATGAGTGAATCAAAATGTAAAGGATACTATGTTTCTTATTTATAGAATATTATTTTTCCTGAGAAAAAAAAGAAAAATACATTAAACATATTACAAACTTTGCATATACTTTGGACAGTTATCCCAAACCCTACTCAAACTTCCAATCACATTAAAAAACTTATCCAAATTCAGTTTGGGTCAAACTCAAACGTAGTTGCAGCATAAATCTACGCTTTAGAAAGCTATACAGACAATAACAAGCTTAACCCCATGGTTATTGGTTCCCTTTCATTACTTTTTCACAATGAGAAAACTGGATCTGTCGAGCCTACCCAATTGTTAGTCTTAAATATGATTAGTATTTTATATCAACCCGACTCCACAACCGTAGTTAACTTTCTTTCACTTTCCCTTTGATACAAGCATTTGAATGATCAATCCTAATGTCAACCGAAAAACCTCAAATTATCAAAATTAAGGTGAATCTTTGGGTCTACCGAAGTGATTGGCCACTCTTATTGCGTACCTTTACATACTAATTTCACCTTTAAATACAATTGATTTATAACAATTTTTTTAAGACACTTTTGAGTTTATTTATTAAATTACAATATTTTTTTGAAATGGGGATCAATAACCCTATTTTTAAAATAAAACGTATTTTTAACATGATTAGAAAATGTGATTAGTAAACCTTACTTCTAGGCGAGGAAAATTGTCAAGCCAATTTCAAACTGGAACTCTGTCGCAATTGCCACTGTCGTACTGTCACCACTACGCCAACTCATGCTCCTATCATCTCATCCACCACCACAAATTCAATAAATAAAACCCATTCACAAACCACAAAAAATCATTTGTTTGAACGAAAAAATTTAATGTAACAAAATCAACTCAAGCATCTCCATCTACATCTCCATCGTTACAGCAGTAGCGGCCGCATGCCCTTTACTCCCCTTTTGGTCACCATAAATTCACAAATGACCATCCATTAACGAATAATAATTGTCCACTAATTAAAATTTTTACAAATCCATCCACAAATCACAAAAAACAATTGATTGAACCAAATATAATTAAACTTGCAAAATCAACATAGAACCCTTTAATTGATTTTGGGTTCTAGATTCATATATTTGCAAAAAGTGACCCTGAAATGTACCATATTCATAGCAGTTGGATTCTTCTCTCATTGATAGCGAAGAATCAGAGTGATTGCCATGACCTCCACTTACATGTTATGTGCGTGACTCTGTGTGTGAGAGAGAGAAAAGAGGAATTATGGCATAAGGGCAAAATAGACAATTTATAATCTCAGTCAATGACTGTGAGGCGATAGAACCTATAAATGGTGTCAATGTAATTTCCAAAATAACAATGGAAAAGAGGTGCCATTGTAATTTCCAAAAGGTTGAATTGTAAATTGTTCATTGAAAGATCATTCGAATATTAATTTATATCCTTAAAAATTAAAAATCTTAATTTGTACCTTCAAAAATAAAAATTTGTATAAATGCGCACATGAAACTAATAGTTGTCATTTTGCGGCCTAAAACTAAATGGATAAATTACACTTAGATTCCTCATGCTTGTCACTTAATCATTTAGACCCCTCACATTTAGAATATTATTCCTACATTTTTTAATGTTTGTGCACATGTAACACATAATCTCTTATTGTTAATATCTGTTTATATAACCGTTTAAAAATATGATTTCATCCTAATAAAAAATTATAATTTCATATTATCATTTATTTTGTGGGTCTGTTATATTTTAAAATTCAAAATCAAGCTTACCATTTGAATGTCCAAAATAATATAGGTATTATATAATATTCTTTATATCCAATACAATACATAACTTAAACATAATTATCTGAATGCCTAATTGGAGAAACATGTTTAGTCATATTTGAATTCTCAAGGGATGTAGATAATTAAGTGACAAGTATGAAGGGGCCTAAATATAATTTATCTATTTAATTTAGAGGGCAAACTGATGATGCCTATTTGCTTTAGGTGTGCATTGATAAAATTTTCTATCTTTGAGGATATAAATTGAAATTTTTGATAATTAAAAGTATAAATTGAGATTCAAACAATCTTTTAGAGTGCAATTTGAGATTAACCATTTTCAAAATAACAATGTAAAAGCGGGATCCTTAAACATGCTTTTGTTTTTTATACTACAAAAATATTATTTGAAAATGGGGTTGTTAACTCCGTGTTTATTGTAAAAACAGATATATTGACTTTACTTTTAAAAAGTATCATGGTATGATAATTAAGTTTAAAAGTGTCATAAACAAGTAAATTTGTTATAAATTGGATATTTTGGTAGATAACTCTCCCTTGTCTTATAATAGGAGAAATTAAGAGTAACTTGTACTTCAAAGTATGGTGTAACATAAATGATGGATTTAGAAGAAAATTCAATATGAATGGTTTTAAAAGAGATACTGATGACTGTTAGATGAATCTATTTGAGATCGTCGAATAGATTTATTGAACCTATCTTATTTTATATTATAAATTATGGGTAACTTGTATCTGAAAGTACGGTATAATGAGAATAGTTTTAAAAAGAATATTGTTGACTATTGAATTGAATGAGTTTATTTGAAATCGCTTAATCGACTTATTAAACCTTGTCCAATTTTATATTATAGATTATAGATATTAAATATAATAATGACAACGAAATTAAGACAAAAATTTCGAGGTAAATAATATAATTCTCCATTAAAGTTGTGATCGAAAGGATCTGCCAATCCGGATCCAAATCCGGTTAAGGGCAGATCGACCTGCCTTAGCATTCCCTTCACTCCCACGCCACGACTCTCTCTCTCGGTGGATGTCGCTACAGGTTCAGATTAGATTTCTTAACAAGTTCACCTTCTCTTCTTTTCAGATCCTTTCCTTTACGCTGTTCTTCACAGAGTTTGTAGGTAACAAATCGAAAATCGCCGCAACTTTGATAACTATTAGAATTTTCCGCCGTAATTTTGATGATTATTAGAGTTTTTTTCGGAACTAAGATGATTGTTCGAGTTAGAAAACACCAAATTTATATGCTTCATATTTTTTTTTCAACAATCCGCAGATAGAAATTAATGGCGGCGATTTCAGTACACCAATTGACTCAGTCTATTACTTGCCATGCTTGGAGTCCTGACCTCTCCAGTACTTCCCGTCCTTCTCTTCTACTGTAAAAGTTGTGGTATTAAGCACACTTTCTGTGTGTGTATGTGAATGAATTTATAATGTGTATATATCCATTTCATTTGCAGTGATTGCATTTTGTCCAAACAGTAATGAAGTGCAGATCCATAGATTATTGGAAGAGAAGTGGGAGAGGATACATGTTCTTCAAAAGGTATATTGTATTGAAATTCATTGAATTTCATGAATTTTGAGATGTGGTTCTGTTATTTTAAAACAAATGGCCATTGAATAATGTAGTGATAAAAAGTTTTAGGCTCACAGTCTTGAGGTTGTGTGTTGGGATGTGAGAGTATCAATTTTGCGCAGATACTGCCAAAGTTGTGTTTATACTCACTCCAACTCTTTTAGCACCATTAATTTATTGCGACAGTTTATTGGGATTCATGGATTATGAGATTGTGGAGTTGTTATTGTAAAATAAAATCCTATGTAATTAATTTAAATTAAGGGTGTTTGATGCAATGGTAAAAGTTTTAGGTTCACAATCTTGAGGTAGTGTGTTTGAATGTGAGAGCAACTATTTTGTGCAAGCATTGCCAAAGTTGGTTTTGTAGCCACTCTATTCATTTCAGCACCATTAATTCATGGAGACCAAATTGGAAAATGACATCATCAGTGGCTTCAGATTTCTCTCAGATGGGTTCAAATCATCCTTAACATTTCAAGTAAATAATCCAGTCATAATGGCTTGAACTAAGTGTACCAACATGTAGCTCAACTTAACTTAAACCAGTCTTGTCCCAATATTTCTGGGGGTGGCTACTTGAATCCTATTTCATCATTTTACACTATGAAGAGTCATATTTTCTGTTAATCTATAAGTTATTATATTTGTTTTTACTATTTTATTTAAAGTTAATTATGATTTTCCTCTACCCTTTTCATTATTGTCAATATGTATCATGCCATTCTTTCTCAATGATGCCATAGTAGACCACTAGACCTTCTATAAACATGTTCAAACCTCCTAAATTGATTCTCTATTAATTTATCTCTTATATGTGTTATGTCTATTTATTCACAGATATTCTCATTCTTAATTTTATTATTTATAGTTTTACCACACATCCGTCTTAACATTCTCGCTTCCATCAACATGTAGCCGTAGATGTTTAATTATAATAACTTTAATGAAGGCTTTTCAAGGCCTCTGTGGAAAGTTCAACATACTCATTTAGCTTTCATTTCCATTTCTTCTCAAGTATACCAACCTATCAAACTTCCTGCAAGCAACATGGATACATGTTGTGCTTATTGTATTAGATTCATTCCAAGAATTGCTTGAGGACTTTCTTTATGAATATTTTATTTGTATGGGGTGGTGGATGATCCTGTAGTTAAGAGGGGTGGATGATCCTTGAAGGTTTAAGCCATGATTGCTCATTTAGCTTTCATTTGATGGAACAGGCCCTGAAAATTTACTTCAGGCTGATGCCTGGTTAATATTATATTGTCAAGGAACTGCTTTTACATCAATCACATTGACCCCTTCATGGATTCATGTCAACCTATTTTTGCGCTACATGTTTCAATAGCTCAGCAGTCAGCGCACAAGGTTAACCTCAAGTATTTGCACTTGCATATAGTAGTAAAGTTCAAGATCTGTCTTGACGATTTGCTCATGAATTAACCTCGAACGCTTTTGTATACCTGTGTAATCTCATAATGAATTGATTTTGTTCATATTGTCAAGTCTGGACTACATATTTAATCTGAAGGATAACTTTATGCTAACAATGTTTCTCTTTGTTGTTGTTCTTTCTTGTCACAGCATGACCAAATTGTTTCTGGGATAGATTGGAGTATAAGATCCAACAAAATAGTTACTGTATCCCATGATCGTAATTCGTGAGTTATTATTTAGATTGAAATATTATGAGGTTCTTTTAAAAGTTACATAACATTTTGCTTTGTAAATTTGCAATTCATTATTTTGAATCTCCTTTGTGTGTGTGTTCATTCTTTGGATAACCTAATTTTTTAATTTATATTTAGTATACAACTTTCTTTCCAGATATGTCTGGACTCAAGAATCAGCAGAGTGGGTGCCAACCCTTGTTATCCTTAGGTTGAACCGCGCTGCGCTTTGTGTTCAGTGGAGTCCAAAAGGTATGCAAGTCCATTTTTGCCTTGGACTAGTTAGGGATTTATCTCACTTTGTTGTTTTTCTCTTGGTTTACCTCAATGCCTTGGTACAGGCAATATTGATGCTTGTAGTTACATATATTGATTGCTCACTGCTTTCAAACGTTTTGTGATAACCTTTTTTAAAAAAAGAAAAGAAAAGAGCATCACTTTCTTGTGCTACTGTGCTCTCTTCTCAAAATTCGCTCGATTTCGATTATCTGCTCTAGTCTAATGAGGCTAAATCCAAGGAATTCAAAGGGTATTGTGTGTTGTGATCTAATTTAGAGAAGTATTTGTGCTTGTGTAATTGATTCTCAACTTCCTTAACCTTTTGTTCCTCTCCCTTCAAATAACCACATAAGCCAAAGATGACTTGTTGCCCTTTCCTTTTTATTGCTCCTTCGGACATGGTTACCATTTTTATCTCCACAATATGCCTCCACCAACCTCAGCGTGACCTAGTCAATGCCAAAAAGAGAAAACAACACATGCCACAACTTCCTAATATGGTAATTGGTTGGATTTGGTTTTTCTAATGGTGAAGACAAGCTTAGGTCTCAATTTGTTTTGTAGAAGTAGATGATATTTTAGTTGAGAAACATATAGCCCATTTCCATTTTTTTGTTGGTTACAATGATAATGGAATATATGACTAATTTGTGCTTCCATATGCAGTGGCTTCATAATTTTATACAGTTCAGGACAAGGGTGGAGCCGTGGTGGCAAAATTTGACCATAAATAATTCATCAGTTGATCCAAAAAATATTTAAGTTTGAGTATGACAAAATATGTTAAGATCCAAAACTAAATGATTATATGAAAGTAAAACTGGTTCTCTTTAAGTCTAAACAAAATGTGAGAATACACAAAATAAATTTTTTCATAGCACATTTTGACTCCATCAAATATTAAAGTGGAACACAACATTTGTTAAAATCTCGAAAGTTTTCTACAATTGATTAATTGTAAGGTAAATTTCATACTAATTTTCTTTTAATGTACACAATCACGGGGTCTATGACAAAATCATCATTCATTTAGTTTGTGAAGCTGAGTTCAAATTATTCTCAGTCTTGTCGAGAAATTAATTGTTTGAAATAGCAGAAAATTCTTTGGGATTACAAAATTTCATCTTTTGGACCTAGTCATGTTTTATTAGGTTATGAACTACTAAGTTACCCGAAAATGGTAAATGATAAATATAAATTTTTTTTTCTTAAAATAGGGAACATTGTATTAGATAAAAGATAAGTAGTAATGTAGTATCTTTGGTCAGGTCCTTTTATACATTTGGCTTACTCAATCCAAAAATAAAACATTTGTTTTAGGGGGGCTATTGGGCCACTAGTTTACTGAAAATAAAAAAATAGGACTATTATATAAATTTCAAGTCCAAACATCTCTGACATTGGTTCATGACATTGAAACACCAATCATGCATATGCACGCACACTCACAAAATCTTTGCAGCAGTCTCTCTGAACATGGGAATTGTCTTGTAACAAGGAAAAAAAGAAGTTAGAATTCCTGTGTGAATACCCTGTATATATTGTCAAATGTTAACGCTTGTATACACTTCCATGTATCTTGAACTTTTCTAACAACTTCTTTGGTGAAGAATGTGCTCATAGGTGTAGATATGGTCTCATTCTTCTTTTAAGTCCATTGATTTTCTTTCAGAAAACAAGTTTGCAGTTGGAAGTGGAGCTAAAACTGTTTGTATATGCTACTATGAGCAAGAGAATAACTGGTAATAACCTATTTTTTACTGCTTTTCTCTTTATCAATTGTACTGATGCTTGTGTTTTTCTTAAGTTGTATTTATGCATGTGATGTACTTCTACATTCTACTACTTTGTGTTTTTCTTAAAGAAATCACTACCAATCTAAGAAGCATGAATACGGAAACGGGTGTCGTATTCGATACGAGCACGGAGATACAATAAAGTTCCAAAATATAGGATACAAGTATGACAAAGATACGACTAATTAAATTAATATAATATATTTTGGAGATAATAATAGAATTATAATATATTAACAACAAAACATATTTGATAACAATATTAATAACATGACCTAGCAAATATTAATTTTTTTAAATAAGTTACATAACCAAAAAAAAACACCCTTTTAATAGTTAAAAGTCATTTAAAAAAAAAGCATTGGTCGTATCCTAGTCGTATCATGTTCGTGTCCTTGCCGTGTCCGACTTAGTTCACTAATTAGAACACTTCTATGCTTGTTGGACACGTGTCCGACAATGTCACAACACCCTCCGAGAAGTATTTTTGCTTCCTAGCTGCTAATTAATTAGTAGGATTTTGTATATCACCTCTTTTTGAATATCGTTTTCTCTTTTTCGTGCTTTCCATTGTAGTGTTCATTTAAACTTAAAGGGGAAAAAAAAAAGGCAAAAAAATAAAAAAATAAAGAAGATATCAAAAGAAGAAGAAAAGCTATGTTTATTAACTTGTATGTTTTTCCTCAGGTGGGTCAGTAAGCTTATCAGAAAAAGGCATGACTCTTCTGTGACCGGGGTTGCATGGCATCCCAATAATGTAAGTGTGTTCTTATGTATTGTTATCTTTATGCATTTATATTGAACAATGCTTTAAAACCACAATATTTAACTAGTGGTTTGCATACATATGAAGTGGTGCACTCATTTCCTATTGTTTGTAAATGAAAAACAATTAATACACCCCTTTTATTTGTGCATTACAAAACAGAGATAAGAGAAGGAAGTGTAGATTTGAGAAATGAAGGCAAAACCCACGTCTATTTATATTGACTATATAACCTATATTTTTATGTGCAAAAATATCATAGTATTAATACCCCTGTTTGAAATCCAATTGAATTCTAAACTGGAAATTTGTCAAACCTTAATTGTTTAATTTCTTGGCTGGCCAAAAAAAATTGGAACTGTATCAGCTAAATGTGTAGTGGAAATGCATAATTGATGTAGTGACTTTGTCCTACCTGTGTGAATACATAAGATCTTATCGAATGTTCCCTTGTTTTCTCATAGATTCTCCTTGCTACGACCTCTACTGATGGAAAATGCCGAGTATTCTCTACTTTCATTAAGGGCATTGATACAAGGTATGCTTATTGAAGTGACCATTACTGGCTCGGTATGAATGATATGGTTCCTTGTAGTTAAATTATTAATAGCTGCTGGTTGGCGATGAACAGGGATTCAGGATCAGGCCCTTCATCAGATTCAAAATTTGGAGAGGTTCAATGTCCTTATTCCTTATTTCTTTACCTCCGTAGGATCCAAAGTTTTTGTTACGCAAACTTGAGCAACCAAATGCAATGTTATGTACAAGTTTTTGTTGGTAAATAATGCCTTTGTTTCTGGGCCAACTAGACATTACTAATAGACTTTCGTGACGGAAATTAATTCTTGCAATGAAATGGAATACTGAACTCAAAAAACTTGGAACTTAACAAATGATGATTTACATTTTCTGATTCTATATCAACCATTTCTGTAAAATCCTCTATAATGAAATACTTAAATGTAAACCACGACTGATACAGGAAACATTTTGACCCTACCCCTCTGTATTTGAATTTTTTCTTTCCCTATTTATTGTTGAAGGTTTGGGGACCTCGAACTAGTTTTTGATCCCATATATATCAGATACTTGCATATTATAGAAGAGAGAGAAAATGCAAAAATTCCCAAATGGGTAATATTCAGAATTGATCCAATCATTTACAATGTTTTTTGGAAGGAAATAGTCAGAATTCAGAAATATGGTAATATTCAAAATGTTGCGTTGCAACGTGAATGTGTTGGTTGATATCTCAAACCATCATATACCAAGCAGCTCTCTTTTCTTTTTATTCATGTTATGGACCTAAGCAAGTCTGTGCTTTCAAGCATGTTTCATTTAAGACTCTTATCTGTCAACATCATATGTACCTGGTTGGAAGATTGAATCTTCATTTTTTTTGTCTTTTTGTTTTGAAATTTAATTGGAGCAGCAAATAATTGAGCTTGATCTCTCACTTAGCTGGGCATTTGGTGTCAAATGGTCTCCAAGTGGCAATACCCTAGCTTATGTAGGTCAGAAATTTCTCTCTTCACTTCTTCAGCTTCAGTCCCAAAATAACATATTACTTTTCATTGTTTAGCTTACGTTATTTATGAACTTTTCCAAACTTTTGATCAGTGTTATCAGAATTAGACCAGAACTGGCTAGTCGAACCAGACCTAAAACTGGTCCGGTTTACTAATTGGACCGCCTGTGCAACTGAACCAACTATAAACCCCAAAACCAGTGAACCGGATGGTTCGAATGTTAAGTGCGATAAAAAAAACTGAAATCCTTTTTTTGGGGCAATTTTGCCCTAAACGAGATCCAAATCTAGAGAATCTAGACGCATTCCAAGAAGGTGATTGACGGGAATCGTGTAGGAATTGAATCAATATTATAGATTAATTATGATAGTTATTTAGATATTATAGGTCAATGGTGGCCTCCTTGACCCTTTGAAATTTCAGAGTGATGAAGCTAAAGACTTTTGCCACCATTTTTACTCTATTTTTTTGCTTTGTTCTTTCTTTAACATTTGTCTCTCTCTCTCTCTCTCTACAGACACACACACAGTTAGTACACACACACACGCACAGTCAATATACACTATACACATGCACAATTGCACACACACCCCTCTAATTGAAATCAATACACACTAAATTATTGTTTTATTATTTTTTTTAGCTAAATTATTATGTTTTAGAATTTTTTATTTTTTTATTATACGACTTGTCTGACCAATGGATCCAACTATTGAACCAATGACCTAATTTCTCCATTGGTTCGATGTCTGGTCCAGCTCTAATAACTATGCTTTTGATTACATTACCTTCGATTGTAATGGAATCTGCCTTGAAGTTGTTCATTCAATCAATAAATGTAAATGCTTGACTTTGAAATCTACTTTGATTACTTCTTCTTTAGTTCTATCCTTCTTTATTTATTGGTGATAGGAAGTCTATATGGGTGTAATGATTTTGTGTTGGGGACGACTCTCCAGGTCATAATTCTATGGTATACTTTGTTGATGAAGTTGGTCCTCCTCCATCTGCTCAAAGTGTAACAATCCGTCATTTACCACTCCGTGATGTGGGTCAGCTTCCACTCTTGGACATTCTATTTACTTTTATTAGTCCTTGTCTATTAAACTTAATGTATTGTACATTGTGTGACCAACACATGGACGTTTCTCAGGTTTTATTTGTTTCAGAGAGAATGGTCATAGGTGTGGGCTTTGACTGCAATCCAATGGTCTTTGCTGCAGATGAAAGAGGAATATGGTATTTGGCTAATTATGATATGAATTATCTTTGGTTCTTGAATATGGATTCATTTCTTTTCTTTTTTTTTTGTTTTATATTCATTATTTTAACCTCTAAACATCTATATAATAAAACACGTCCTATTTTGAATCCCCCAACTTAGCTTAAGCACAAGAGTGACTAAGATTCACTCAATCCAATGACTCAAAATCATCACTAAAAAATGCCACCCACCTCACACCTTTTAACGCTATCCAAGGTCAAACAAAGTCTTCTCTCTCCTAACTCTTTGTTCTCTCTCTCCCATGTTTTTAAATGGTGGGACAAGTTTAATTTTGAATTGTGTAATTATAAAAGAGAAAGAAAAAATAAATTATTATTTCATATATTTATACTACACAACTAATGTTCGNGTCAATATACACTATACACATGCACAATTGCACACACACCCCTCTAATTGAAATCAATACACACTAAATTATTGTTTTATTATTTTTTTTAGCTAAATTATTATGTTTTAGAATTTTTTATTTTTTTATTATACGACTTGTCTGACCAATGGATCCAACTATTGAACCAATGACCTAATTTCTCCATTGGTTCGATGTCTGGTCCAGCTCTAATAACTATGCTTTTGATTACATTACCTTCGATTGTAATGGAATCTGCCTTGAAGTTGTTCATTCAATCAATAAATGTAAATGCTTGACTTTGAAATCTACTTTGATTACTTCTTCTTTAGTTCTATCCTTCTTTATTTATTGGTGATAGGAAGTCTATATGGGTGTAATGATTTTGTGTTGGGGACGACTCTCCAGGTCATAATTCTATGGTATACTTTGTTGATGAAGTTGGTCCTCCTCCATCTGCTCAAAGTGTAACAATCCGTCATTTACCACTCCGTGATGTGGGTCAGCTTCCACTCTTGGACATTCTATTTACTTTTATTAGTCCTTGTCTATTAAACTTAATGTATTGTACATTGTGTGACCAACACATGGACGTTTCTCAGGTTTTATTTGTTTCAGAGAGAATGGTCATAGGTGTGGGCTTTGACTGCAATCCAATGGTCTTTGCTGCAGATGAAAGAGGAATATGGTATTTGGCTAATTATGATATGAATTATCTTTGGTTCTTGAATATGGATTCATTTCTTTTCTTTTTTTTTTGTTTTATATTCATTATTTTAACCTCTAAACATCTATATAATAAAACACGTCCTATTTTGAATCCCCCAACTTAGCTTAAGCACAAGAGTGACTAAGATTCACTCAATCCAATGACTCAAAATCATCACTAAAAAATGCCACCCACCTCACACCTTTTAACGCTATCCAAGGTCAAACAAAGTCTTCTCTCTCCTAACTCTTTGTTCTCTCTCTCCCATGTTTTTAAATGGTGGGACAAGTTTAATTTTGAATTGTGTAATTATAAAAGAGAAAGAAAAAATAAATTATTATTTCATATATTTATACTACACAACTAATGTTCGATTTATTTGTATTACCCAGTGCCTTTAGGCACAGGTTATTGCTAGTGTCCAATATTATGAGCCAATTATTTGAATATGCAGGTATGTCCAGTAGCCTCGGGGAAAAAACTATTTCAACTCAGTACCATCACATTAAAATGTATTTGGCACCTGAATGCTTTTTATTCTTGTAACAAAATCCAAGTGTCCCCATAAGATGACTAAGTGATATATTTTGTACTCTTTGTTAGTTCTTTCTTTTTTGTCTTTCTTTTTCTTTTTTTTTTTTGTGGTTAATCATATGAACATTTTTGTGGCTTGTTTAGCTGGAACATTTTTTTAGATGCAGTAGCAACTTTTACAAATTTCCTGATTCTCATTGGAAGTGAAACTGTAGGGTCACTTGGTGAATAAAATGTATTTGCAAAATTTGTTCTTTTACTTTGACAATTTCTTATATTTTATCTTATAGGAGCTTTATGAGGTTCCTCAGTGAAAGGAAAGCAGCATCTTCAAGTGCAAAATATGGCTCACAGGTATTATTTTTCAATTTCATCGCTTTGCTGTTGTCTGTGTTGAACATTTGAAATGATTGATTTACTAAAATAAGAGAAAGGTGTTAGAATTTTGACACTGAGCATTGGGATTTTGAATGACTGCTCCTTGGACCTTTTATAACCAATTTCAGGGTTCTAATTTTTAGGTGGTTGGTAGTCATGTATAATTTATATATTGAGTTTTAGGGGTCAAGTAAAAATGATCTCTGACTGGCTTTGTTATGGAACTCACAAACATCTTTGTGCAGTTTAACGGTTAAAAAATCAGGGAAATTTCTGTCAGGAAAGTTCATTTAGAAATTTCATGATGTTGTATAAAATGAATAAGCCAGATAATTATGATGTACAGGGTCAGGCTATTGGAACTTGGATGGCTTGAGTAAAGACCTTGCTTTTTGCTAGTGAATGTAATACAAGTGTGAGCTGGAGATCCATTCATCTGTTAGTTTGGTTGCCAAGCTTGTATTAAGCATGTGGGAAATTTGATTTTGATCTTGTCTTAGCCCAGTACTGCAGTTGCATGACCTATTTTTATATTGCATTACCGGAAACTATTCAAAGCTGTGGCTTGTTTCCTATGTTGAAGTTGTTCTGGAAAGTGCCTGTGTTGAAGTTGTTATGTTGCCTTTTGTTGTACTCATTAAAAGCCGCCCTAGATGTGGTAAGGATAAAGTAATCATCTGCTCTGTTAGTATTTTTTTTTTCTGCTCTGTTAGTATCAAGTGACTAAACCGACCAAAATGTTGCAAATGACACTTTGCTAACTTTAGATGTCAAATGATCAAATCCTCTATAGATTTCTGTTGGCTCCGGACCTCTGGTTACTTTCAGAATTTATTGTTTGCTTCAAGGGCTATGATTTGTCATTATTTTAATTTTCTCTATCCTCTTATCACCAGTTTTCTGAAGCTTTTGGAAAACTATATGGCCAATCAAAACATGGAATTAGCAATGATACTGTTGAGCCTTCTAGACCGCGTGGGGGAGTACACGAGAACTGCATCAAGTACTAGTTTACTTCTAAATCATTTTATTGTTATCATGCTATTATTTTATTCATGCATATATTTTTTTCTTTTTTGGGAACTTAAAGTTTCAACCGTTTAAAGCATATAATTGTTCTTTTATTCTCTTTTTTTTGGTGGGGAATTCTAGTTCTATTATGGCGCTCAAGAAAGCAGGAGATTCTACATTCACCCGTTTCAGCACCTCAGGTGAGTAGTAACACACATATGAACTCCCTTTTTGCACAAAACCTATAGCTATGCTTTTTGCTGGACTTAATTTTGTCAATCCTCGCACCTACACATTACAGGATTGGATGGGAAAGTAGTTATTTGGGATTTGGAGAACCAAGAAGATTTATTGGAGTACTTATAAATTTGATTATCGATCAGCCACATCCATGGTAAAGGCATTTCAAATGTCAGGTTCATCTGATGCACATCAGTCTGTTCTCTATGGTATTTTGACAGGTTGATCTTATGGTGCCAATTCAAATACAGGTTAATTGGATTTGTAAAATATGTACAAGTAACGAATGCGTTTTTTCACTTCCCTTACCTATATGCCAGTTCTGTTTTGAAAGAAAATCAAATTCTACTTCTATTGATTTTGTAATCTATCAAATTTATATTTGCCACCGGATTGGAAGTCATTGACCTTCGGTTCATTTAGAGCTGTTGTGCAATAAGCCATTCTTCGAGCATGGTTCAAAGTCCTAATCTTGGAGCTGGGTATAAATGCTTTGGAGATATTTTGTTCGCGAACTGTTTGGTGTTGGGAAATAGTGGTTATTTTAAGAGTCTTTCACCACCATTAGGACCTCTGTTCCAGCACTAACATTGTTCTTACTGTTATAGCTTTGTTTTGTTTTCTACGTCCCTGTAATGTACAAAATGAGTTCTTGTAGGGACTAATGGCAGGAAATATACTATAAAGACATTCTAAGTGAAGCTAGATAAATCAATTGTTGTAGTCTTAGAAAATTTTTTGTCTCCCCCCTCCCCAAATTAACTTGTTTTATGGTAATAATAGAAAAATAATGAGAACAATGTTTGAAAATGCTAGTTATGAAATGAAAAATGTTTCCATGTGTAAACAATAAAATATTGCGACACTGTTATATAGATGGCCACATCAATAGGTTACTTTGGAGGACTCGAAGGAGGTTGCAGTTTGGTGGGCTAAGAGATAATTTTAGCCTCGGAAAGATGTCACGTGGGGCTCACCATGTTGCCGTGCCAACATGTGTTGGGGCCATTATGTGGGGTCTCACTATATTTGGGGTATGCGAATATATTTCCTTAACTAAATGGTATATTTTGAGAAGAGAATGAGAGAAGATAAATTGGAATATATATGTTAAGATAAACGGATTGTAGAACAAACCTTGAGTAAACACAGTTTGAGTCCCGTAGTAGGCTCCCAAGGTAGGGGTCCTATAATGGGTTCTCGTGGTAGGGTCCCGAGGTAAGGGTTTCGCGGCTAGGTTTTGAGGCCAAGTTCATGCGGTAGGGTTCCCATATTAGGATGCTTCTTAGGCCCTAAGCCTCAAGAAGGCAATCTCTCTCCCTCCTCTCTCCTCACCTTCCTCTCCTCCTCCATCCACACCCTTCTCCTAAGTTCCTCTCACAATAATGTGTATGAACCTATTATTTAACTTTCCACCTATATTTTGACATGTGGATTTATGTAATTTTTTTCTCTCTCATGGATGCGGCCAATGATTTGTAGTTATATACGAGTTCTATTCCATAAAAACAAAGAGGTTTTTTGGTTGGGAAAATGCTGACCAAGGACAATGGACTGAGTCGATTGACCGCCTCGAAAAAGAAAGAGAAAGTATACACAATTATGTAGTGGTTTTGCGAGATTTAAACCATTTTGGTTTATTAGATCAGTGAGTGTCTCTTATTACCATATTGATCTTGCATTAGCTGAGAAGTTTTAGGCCTTGTTTTTGTTCTTAATCTCAGTGTGACATATTATTAAGATAATTTCTGGTATTTTTTGGGGTAGACATGGTGCTAAAATTGCCTAGTTTGATTATCAAGTAATGGTTTTTCCCAAACAAGTAAATAGGAATGCAACTTATAAACTAAATTGGAAATTAATATTAGAATTACCGGTGATAAACACACGTTTTAGAAGATTTTGATGTAGGATAATTTTATAAACACTAATACTATTTAGACATAATTTGAAAATTTAGCGAAATGCTGACTAGAAAAGGATTGGAGGGTGTGTTATATGATATTGCTATTGGTATAAACTTCTATGTGACTGAATTTTCATTGGCAAAGTTTAGGACAACCTGTCATGTTTGTGGGTTTCAAAATAAAAAATTGTAGGGTTAATAACATTTGTTATCTTTAAAAAATATACGTTTTATCAGTTTAATCTTTAAAGTACTAATTTTATCAATTTAATCTCTAAAACATTCAATTCGTGTTTAAATAATTTTTACATAAAGAAACTATTAAATTTTTGATAAAATGATCACATGTTGGATACATGATACCGTCTAAAAGAATAACATGTAATCATTTTCGTCAAAAATTTTAACGGATTATTTGATTAAGGATAAAAGTGACCTGAATTAAAATTTTAAGAATTAAATTAACATAATAAAGACTAAACTAATAAAATATAAATATTCCTATAAACAAACTATTTTACAAATTATATAATTCTGCAGGATCACATATCAGTGGAGGTTATTTGTTAAACCCCTTTCTTCGCCCTCTCTCTCTCTCTCTCTCACACACACACACACACACACACACTCACACACACACACACACCCACACACTCTCGCTCACTCACACACAAACACACACACTCTGAGAAATGCTCTCTTCAGCCCAAACCCCTCGCTTCCTCCTCCTCCATTCTCGATTTCCCCATAAACTCCTCCACTTCCAAACCCCCAAGTCCCTTCACACTTTCCAAACCCAAGCCCAAATTCTCTCTCCGTCTCCACCCACCTCCCAAATCCTCACCATCCGCGAATCCCTCCTCTCTCGCTCCACGACCGCCGTCGAACTCGCTTCCAATTACCTCCACCACCTCCGTCGCACCGAACCACACCTCAATAGCTTCCTCCACATATCCGATACTGTTTTGAAAGAGGCCGAAGAGATTGATAGGAAGATTCAGAACAATGAGGAGGTCGGACCTCTGGCTGGGGTTTTGGTGGGGGTCAAGGATAATATTTGTACGGTGGATATGCCGTCGACTGCTGGGTCTAGGGCTTTAGAGAATTACAGGCCGCCGTTTGATGCCACGGCGGTGAGGAAGCTGAGGGAATGTGGCGCCATTGTTGTTGGGAAGACTAATTTGGATGAATTTGGTATGGGGAGTACAACCGAGGGCTCCGCCTACCAGGTTAGGGTTTTGGTTTTATCAGTTTATCAATTCATTTCATGACAAAAGTAATGCTACACCCTCAGAAATTCATTTCCTGAAGTGATATTATACATAATCAGTTCACATTGAAACTATGCTAATGAAATCCAGTATAGAATTTGTTATATAGCATTACCCGTGTGTGAATTTAGTTTGAATGTCACTTATTGTGGTTTAGTTAATGCAAGTTTGCAATTATAATCCTCTTTTTGGGATGCTCGAGTAGTCTCTACCTTGTTTCTACTGCACTCTTTGATGGACCTCCTGGTATACTGGTTAGTACGAGCAAAGCGGGTTGGCAGGAGCTATCCACCCTCCAGTGGGTCGAGTTTCACCATCAGCTGCATAGCGGTTCTCGCTGCACATTAAAAATCAAATATAAATAGAAGAAACTTAGTTAGTGCATCTTCTGTTTGAACTATTTTAAAAGGCTCACTTAATATGGGCCTTTTGAACTGGCCGGAGGGAAGACTACTTTGGGGTCTTTGTGGTCCTCACTCCTCAGACATGAACCATATTATAATACTTTCTTGCCCAATTTTACCATTGCATCAGGCATTGGCTTTGCTAGAATTTTCAAAATGGGATTTGTGGTGGGGTGGGGAGGGAGGTAATTAAGAGTAGAAGAAAGATAAAACTTAGGACAAAGGTGCCATTTTAAGCCTATCACTAGTTTAGGTGGTCACTTCTGTGGTTTTTGCAAACAGCCATAGAATATAAAGGGCTACATAGTTTTACAAACTCAGTGGCAGCCATCACCCATATATATGGTTCTGCACCGGCACCAAGTGGTGGCTTCTGCATATTCGACTCTTGAATATGTACTCAAATTTAGACAATTTAAGTAATGGGNCTCTCTCTCTCTCTCTCTCTCACACACACACACACACACACACACTCACACACACACACACACCCACACACTCTCGCTCACTCACACACAAACACACACACTCTGAGAAATGCTCTCTTCAGCCCAAACCCCTCGCTTCCTCCTCCTCCATTCTCGATTTCCCCATAAACTCCTCCACTTCCAAACCCCCAAGTCCCTTCACACTTTCCAAACCCAAGCCCAAATTCTCTCTCCGTCTCCACCCACCTCCCAAATCCTCACCATCCGCGAATCCCTCCTCTCTCGCTCCACGACCGCCGTCGAACTCGCTTCCAATTACCTCCACCACCTCCGTCGCACCGAACCACACCTCAATAGCTTCCTCCACATATCCGATACTGTTTTGAAAGAGGCCGAAGAGATTGATAGGAAGATTCAGAACAATGAGGAGGTCGGACCTCTGGCTGGGGTTTTGGTGGGGGTCAAGGATAATATTTGTACGGTGGATATGCCGTCGACTGCTGGGTCTAGGGCTTTAGAGAATTACAGGCCGCCGTTTGATGCCACGGCGGTGAGGAAGCTGAGGGAATGTGGCGCCATTGTTGTTGGGAAGACTAATTTGGATGAATTTGGTATGGGGAGTACAACCGAGGGCTCCGCCTACCAGGTTAGGGTTTTGGTTTTATCAGTTTATCAATTCATTTCATGACAAAAGTAATGCTACACCCTCAGAAATTCATTTCCTGAAGTGATATTATACATAATCAGTTCACATTGAAACTATGCTAATGAAATCCAGTATAGAATTTGTTATATAGCATTACCCGTGTGTGAATTTAGTTTGAATGTCACTTATTGTGGTTTAGTTAATGCAAGTTTGCAATTATAATCCTCTTTTTGGGATGCTCGAGTAGTCTCTACCTTGTTTCTACTGCACTCTTTGATGGACCTCCTGGTATACTGGTTAGTACGAGCAAAGCGGGTTGGCAGGAGCTATCCACCCTCCAGTGGGTCGAGTTTCACCATCAGCTGCATAGCGGTTCTCGCTGCACATTAAAAATCAAATATAAATAGAAGAAACTTAGTTAGTGCATCTTCTGTTTGAACTATTTTAAAAGGCTCACTTAATATGGGCCTTTTGAACTGGCCGGAGGGAAGACTACTTTGGGGTCTTTGTGGTCCTCACTCCTCAGACATGAACCATATTATAATACTTTCTTGCCCAATTTTACCATTGCATCAGGCATTGGCTTTGCTAGAATTTTCAAAATGGGATTTGTGGTGGGGTGGGGAGGGAGGTAATTAAGAGTAGAAGAAAGATAAAACTTAGGACAAAGGTGCCATTTTAAGCCTATCACTAGTTTAGGTGGTCACTTCTGTGGTTTTTGCAAACAGCCATAGAATATAAAGGGCTACATAGTTTTACAAACTCAGTGGCAGCCATCACCCATATATATGGTTCTGCACCGGCACCAAGTGGTGGCTTCTGCATATTCGACTCTTGAATATGTACTCAAATTTAGACAATTTAAGTAATGGGTTTCCAAACTATATAAAGTATCTGTCTATGTTGCTATTGAAGGTTGAGATTAAATTTATTCAGATGGGATAAAATTTCAAGTTAAAATTTGCCAACATGCAACTGAACGTATCTTACTGTTTGCTAGGTGACTGCAAATCCTTGGGACCTGTCTCGGGTACCAGGAGGGTCATCAGGGGGCTCAGCTGCTGCTGTTTCTGCTAGACAGTGCATAGTATCATTGGGAAGTGATACTGGTGGAAGCGTCAGGCAGCCAGCATCTTTTTGTGGTGTTGTTGGACTGAAGCCAACATATGGGCGTGTCTCAAGATATGGACTCGTGGCATATGCATCATCCCTGGATGTTATTGGATGCTTTGGTTCCTCAGTTGCTGACACAGGGATTCTCCTCAATGTAATTTCTGGTCATGATAGACATGATGCCACTAGTAGCAAGCGAGTAAGATTTTTTATGCTTATTATTTGTGAAGGTCAATTAATTCTCTTCTGCATGGCGCATCACTCAGACTTAATGAACTTCTAAATATATAATCAAAGTCTTTTTTTGAACAATCCTGGTTATATTATGATACATCGATGCTTGTTTGAAAGAAAAGGGAAAAAAATAGAAAAACTAAGCTAAATTTAAGTGGGGTTTGCTTGTCTGACTTATTTTGGGATTCTCAAAAACATGGGGGTTATTGTTATCTGAAGATCCACCATGTATGGTGTGAGCAATATGATGTTTTAAGTATGTTGAATGCCATCCGCAGCTGTATTCATATTGTAAATAGGTTGCATGCCATCCACATTTATCTATGGTAGAGTGAAAAAAAGCTGATTTGTTTGAATAATTTGAAATTTTAATTAAACATGATATATCACTTTCTTGTAGTGTATTCTAGTTGTATTTTGACTTACTATTGTGAAAGGTTTTACTTTTCAGGAAGTTCCTAACTTCACATTTCAATCCATCTCCCCAGATTCTATTGAATCTAAGCCTTTGAGAGGACTGAGGGTTGGCATCATACGTGAAACTCTTCAGGAAGGAGTTGATTCAGAAGTAATTTCTTCTATCCGCGATGCAGCTTCTCATTTGGAAGAATTAGGATGCAGTCTGACAGAGGTATTTCTTTTCCTATGCATTTTCTCTTCATATGTGCATGGTCTAACTTCATGCCATTAGAAAGTAAAACTACCTGTTTCTATGATTTGTGTTTCGTCTTTTTTATTTTTCCAAATATAATCTGCAGGTCTCGTTGCCATCCTTTTCCCTTGGATTACCAGCATACTACATCCTTGCTACCTCCGAATCATCTTCAAATTTATCTCGTTATGATGGTGTCAGGTGATATATTAATATGCTTCTTGTTTACATATTTTGGTTTCCCTTCTTTAAATTTTTCGTTTTTCCAGGCGCCCACTGTGCAATATAAATGACCAAGTAAAATTTGGAGGGAGGGAGAACAGAAAAGGGGGTGTGGGAGGGGGGCGGGGCATTTTGAAGTTGAAAACCAATTATGGATATTTGAGTGTTAATTATATATTAAAAATTTGGTATAAAGTAGGCAAGATTTGTGGGAAATATTTCTGAACTCCATAAAAGAAGGTAGTGAGTTGCTCACCTTCATTTGCCTGTCAATGTCCAGGTATGGAAACCAGGCCGTTGCTGATGTGCTGAATTCCCTCTACGGTGATTCCCGAGCTAAAGGCCTTGGCTCTGAGGTATTGATATAGCTTTGCAGAAATAGGATTGCTGTGCTGCTGTTTGGGCTTGGTAGATTTGATTGTAAAAACTATATATTAGACACTACAATGTGGTTTAGCTTACATGAGAGCAGATTTGCACTAGTTAGTGAATCTGGAGTAACTCTGGGTACTTTTTGACAGGTGAAAATGAGAATTTTAATGGGAACTTATGCCCTTTCAGCTGGTTATTATGATGCATACTACAAGCGTGCCCAAAAGGTACCACAGCATTGTGCTAAGTATTACCATCCGGTATGCCCTACCCTGCATAATAGAACCTTAGGAGTCACCATGCAATGGTTTCTCATGTACTTGGGCACCATGATTATATGAAAACCCCAAATAACGGTAAAGTGATGATTTCATGCATCCCAACACCGTGATAATTTGAAAATAACCCATAATTCTCATGCTGATATCTAAGTAGTTTCAGATGAATGAATTTTAAAACCAAAACACTGTGCTCACTAGGAAATTTGGGTGAATTTGGCATATTTATATTGCGATAATCAAACCCTCCTTTTAATCTTATACGATTATTATTATTTATTTTTTTTTGGAAAAGGGGGGGGGGGGGAAGGGTTGATCCTTGATAAACCTGGGACTAGGATTCGAGGGTTTGTACCAACAAGAGTTGTGATATTCATGTTAATAGGCCTTACACTGTTTTCTGCAAATATAACTATGTAGTACCAACTACTTAGCATTGCGGATAAAAAGAAAACCCAGGTAGTATTTTTTGAATGCTGTAGGTTTTTTATTGTTATGGACTGGTTGCATTTGACTGAAAAAAAAAAGAAAAGAAATTTATGATCATGCTATTGTTTTAGGTAAGGACCCTAGTTCAGAAGAGCTTCAAGACAGCGTTGGATGAAAATGACATCCTGATTTCACCTGCAGCACCATCTGCTGCTTATAAGATTGGTATGGCCTTTGCATCTTTTTCTTTTGTAGTTTCGCATCTTTTTATGATGAACACCTAGTTTTTTCTTTTCTTTTTTTCTTCATCTACCATCTTAAGCTTTTAATTGAGATGTTTTTTGACATAAGCTAAAAAAGATACAACTTAGGTTCATATATCTACAACATGCCCCTTCACTTCAGAATATAATCTCAGATTTCCTGCTTTGATAGTATAACAAATCATCTTTCTCAAAACCATTTGGCATCGAGTGAAAAGGCCATGAGGCTTATGTACTAGATTTGGATACCAGTGTGGGATAAGCTATAACATTCCCCTCATGTACCACCCCTCACCCTTGCGCTCGTGGAGGAACGAAGAAACGGCAGAGAGATGCAGTCCATAATAAATCCCAAAACCAGGCTCTGTTATTGTGTTATGGTTAAACAACCATCTCATCGAAAATCTTAAACTCTTAAATGTGTGGCGTAACTTGGTTATTGTATCTTCAACAGTTGAATGGAACAATGATTCCTCAATATCTTGTAACATTGCAGGTGAGAAGAAAAGTGATCCATTGGCTATGTATGCTGGTGACATCATGACTGTAAGTTTCGCCATGCCTCTTTGCTTCTTTCTATCTACCGAATATACCATGCAAATGGGATTGCACCTGGCTTAACATAGGTACTATCACATCAGACACCTCACTGGTAGTAGAGGGCCCACTCGGGGGCAAATTTCTGGCTCCGCTACTGCATGGCAGTAGTGGTTAAGACTCTTGTACTGCTGTACTATCACTTACTTTTATTTTCTCAGGGTGGTTCTCAAATTTAATTATTTGTTTGTATTCAGCGCAAAGCATCGAACCAGATTGATGGTGTTTTTTTCCTTAAAAGATATTATTTTTGATGCAGGTTAATATTAACTTGGCTGGCCTGCCTGCATTGGTTTTACCATGTGGACTTGTGCAAGGGGGATCTGCCGGCCTTCCAGTTGGTATTCAAATGATTGGTGCAGCATTTGATGAGGTGGGGGGCTAGTCTTTGTATTACTTGCAAAAATTTATTTGATGAGGCTGCGGAGGTACCTTGCCCCTGCAATCTGCAGACATGATTTGGAATCTGACCTACTACTTAATTATCGCTGCAGAACATTTTATTTTCTTTTCTTTAAAAAAGAGGTTCATCAGAAAAGGGATGAGAGAAATTATCTGTAAAAATAGAAAAAGGATTTGATATATCTGTTTGCACTCATTCTCCAAGAATGATCTGCTCTACTTTTTTTGGCCTGTATTTAGGTTGTAGGATGTGCTTTAAGGTGTGTTTTATACTGTACAATCAGCTATTTTTCTTGACTTTACCTTTTTTACCATCTAGTTTCTTAGTGGAGGGGACATTGCAATAATTGGCTCTCTTGGGGAAGAGGCGGGCCTTTATCCTGGAGAGAATTCCCTTTAAAAAATGATATGATGTAGTAATATGCTTGTAGCCTTTGATATGACTTAATCATAACCTTTGGTCACAATGGTTCTGTAAGCTTTCTACAGAGTGCATTTCACATCTTCCAATTATTGGTGCCAAGTTTGCTGCATAACATTTGAAAATTGAAAACTGCAGGAAAAGTTGCTTAAAGTGGGACATATCTTCGAGCAAACTCTTCAAGGTTGCTGTTTTGTCCCTCCACTGGTAGCAGATGGCTTTGCATGCTAGCGACCCATCAATCTTGCTTGTCATGGAAGCAAAAACCAGCTTTCGAGAGTTGCCAATGCTATACCAATCTACCATATACATAGGGAGGTTTGGGACTCGCACATATTTTCAAAGCAGCTTTCATAGAACCAGACCTGATGGTAGACGGGTAATGACACTTCTCTTGAATCATTGTAGCAGCGAAACCACCTTTTTTGATCGTGTTAATTTGTTGAGAAAAAGAAAGAGGGCGGAGGGAGGAGGTAGAAAAAAAGAGAAAATGGTTTTTTTTTTTTTTTTTTTTGGGGGGGGGGGTCATAGTACTCAGGTGTCACTTTTAGAGGTTTCAAATACTCGTCCGCTCAATTTTTTGTTATATTTATTACCTGCAATGGGAGGTTTTTGAGAGATTGAATCCGAGTCTGGAAGATAGATTGAACAATTAGCACTAGGTGAGGATTGTTGGGTGAGCTTCTCTGCAATGTTGCCAAAATAATGGCTTTGTATGTTCACTGGTGTGTTTGCCTTTTCTGATGAAGTAGAAAAAGGGTGCAGATTTTTTTTTTTGCCATAGGTTTTTTCAGCGGTTTTGGTGGCGTGTCGATAATTATAACTCAATCAAGTCAAGACTCAAATATGTCCAATTATAAGATCAGTTCTAATGTAATAAGTACAATCATAAGCATTTAGGATTGGTGCTATCAGTTTGAATCTCATTGATTAGTAGCTTTGTTTATTGAGTAATGTTACACAACTCAAATAGAATTTAAAAAGTTGCAATTCATATGCATATCATCCCTTGGATGAATGAGTTTCATTAATTTTTTTAATAGAATTCATTCATCTAAAGGATGATATGCGTTTAGATTGTAATTTTTGGAATTTATTTGGGTTATTTATCATTTTCTTTATTTATTTTATTAAAGACTATGCTCATTTCATTTGGGTTTAACACAACAGTGGGGTTATGGACATATTTTCTACCTGACCCTTCTANGGTTTGTACCAACAAGAGTTGTGATATTCATGTTAATAGGCCTTACACTGTTTTCTGCAAATATAACTATGTAGTACCAACTACTTAGCATTGCGGATAAAAAGAAAACCCAGGTAGTATTTTTTGAATGCTGTAGGTTTTTTATTGTTATGGACTGGTTGCATTTGACTGAAAAAAAAAAGAAAAGAAATTTATGATCATGCTATTGTTTTAGGTAAGGACCCTAGTTCAGAAGAGCTTCAAGACAGCGTTGGATGAAAATGACATCCTGATTTCACCTGCAGCACCATCTGCTGCTTATAAGATTGGTATGGCCTTTGCATCTTTTTCTTTTGTAGTTTCGCATCTTTTTATGATGAACACCTAGTTTTTTCTTTTCTTTTTTTCTTCATCTACCATCTTAAGCTTTTAATTGAGATGTTTTTTGACATAAGCTAAAAAAGATACAACTTAGGTTCATATATCTACAACATGCCCCTTCACTTCAGAATATAATCTCAGATTTCCTGCTTTGATAGTATAACAAATCATCTTTCTCAAAACCATTTGGCATCGAGTGAAAAGGCCATGAGGCTTATGTACTAGATTTGGATACCAGTGTGGGATAAGCTATAACATTCCCCTCATGTACCACCCCTCACCCTTGCGCTCGTGGAGGAACGAAGAAACGGCAGAGAGATGCAGTCCATAATAAATCCCAAAACCAGGCTCTGTTATTGTGTTATGGTTAAACAACCATCTCATCGAAAATCTTAAACTCTTAAATGTGTGGCGTAACTTGGTTATTGTATCTTCAACAGTTGAATGGAACAATGATTCCTCAATATCTTGTAACATTGCAGGTGAGAAGAAAAGTGATCCATTGGCTATGTATGCTGGTGACATCATGACTGTAAGTTTCGCCATGCCTCTTTGCTTCTTTCTATCTACCGAATATACCATGCAAATGGGATTGCACCTGGCTTAACATAGGTACTATCACATCAGACACCTCACTGGTAGTAGAGGGCCCACTCGGGGGCAAATTTCTGGCTCCGCTACTGCATGGCAGTAGTGGTTAAGACTCTTGTACTGCTGTACTATCACTTACTTTTATTTTCTCAGGGTGGTTCTCAAATTTAATTATTTGTTTGTATTCAGCGCAAAGCATCGAACCAGATTGATGGTGTTTTTTTCCTTAAAAGATATTATTTTTGATGCAGGTTAATATTAACTTGGCTGGCCTGCCTGCATTGGTTTTACCATGTGGACTTGTGCAAGGGGGATCTGCCGGCCTTCCAGTTGGTATTCAAATGATTGGTGCAGCATTTGATGAGGTGGGGGGCTAGTCTTTGTATTACTTGCAAAAATTTATTTGATGAGGCTGCGGAGGTACCTTGCCCCTGCAATCTGCAGACATGATTTGGAATCTGACCTACTACTTAATTATCGCTGCAGAACATTTTATTTTCTTTTCTTTAAAAAAGAGGTTCATCAGAAAAGGGATGAGAGAAATTATCTGTAAAAATAGAAAAAGGATTTGATATATCTGTTTGCACTCATTCTCCAAGAATGATCTGCTCTACTTTTTTTGGCCTGTATTTAGGTTGTAGGATGTGCTTTAAGGTGTGTTTTATACTGTACAATCAGCTATTTTTCTTGACTTTACCTTTTTTACCATCTAGTTTCTTAGTGGAGGGGACATTGCAATAATTGGCTCTCTTGGGGAAGAGGCGGGCCTTTATCCTGGAGAGAATTCCCTTTAAAAAATGATATGATGTAGTAATATGCTTGTAGCCTTTGATATGACTTAATCATAACCTTTGGTCACAATGGTTCTGTAAGCTTTCTACAGAGTGCATTTCACATCTTCCAATTATTGGTGCCAAGTTTGCTGCATAACATTTGAAAATTGAAAACTGCAGGAAAAGTTGCTTAAAGTGGGACATATCTTCGAGCAAACTCTTCAAGGTTGCTGTTTTGTCCCTCCACTGGTAGCAGATGGCTTTGCATGCTAGCGACCCATCAATCTTGCTTGTCATGGAAGCAAAAACCAGCTTTCGAGAGTTGCCAATGCTATACCAATCTACCATATACATAGGGAGGTTTGGGACTCGCACATATTTTCAAAGCAGCTTTCATAGAACCAGACCTGATGGTAGACGGGTAATGACACTTCTCTTGAATCATTGTAGCAGCGAAACCACCTTTTTTGATCGTGTTAATTTGTTGAGAAAAAGAAAGAGGGCGGAGGGAGGAGGTAGAAAAAAAGAGAAAATGGTTTTTTTTTTTTTTTTTTTTTGGGGGGGGGGGCCATAGTACTCAGGTGTCACTTTTAGAGGTTTCAAATACTCGTCCGCTCAATTTTTTGTTATATTTATTACCTGCAATGGGAGGTTTTTGAGAGATTGAATCCGAGTCTGGAAGATAGATTGAACAATTAGCACTAGGTGAGGATTGTTGGGTGAGCTTCTCTGCAATGTTGCCAAAATAATGGCTTTGTATGTTCACTGGTGTGTTTGCCTTTTCTGATGAAGTAGAAAAAGGGTGCAGATTTTTTTTTTTGCCATAGGTTTTTTCAGCGGTTTTGGTGGCGTGTCGATAATTATAACTCAATCAAGTCAAGACTCAAATATGTCCAATTATAAGATCAGTTCTAATGTAATAAGTACAATCATAAGCATTTAGGATTGGTGCTATCAGTTTGAATCTCATTGATTAGTAGCTTTGTTTATTGAGTAATGTTACACAACTCAAATAGAATTTAAAAAGTTGCAATTCATATGCATATTATTCCTTGGATGAATGAGTTTCATCAATTTTTTTAATAGAATTTATTCATCTAAAGGATGATATGCGTTTAGATTGTAATTTTTGGAATTTATTTGGGTTATGTATCATTTTCTTTATTTATTTTATTAAAGACTATACTCATTCCATTTGGGTTTAACACAACAGTGGGGTTATGGACATATTTTCTACCTGACCCTTCTAAATCTTTCTAAAGTTTTGACTCCATGAATTTAGATCCTGCCAATTTCAAATTTAGGTAAGTTTGATCAAATTCAATTATCTACAGTTAGTAGATCCCACCAAAAGATTATTATGGCCCCGTCTACATCTAGAGAGGAACCGTCGCAAGGTTTTTTTTTTTTTTTTCAGCTCCTGAGTTAAAACAAGTTAAAAAAATGTGACGGTTAAGATCGTTTAGATTTAACTATTTGTATTATTACTTATATCTTGATCTTTAAATTACAGTAACTCTTTCTATTTATATATAACTATTTAATTACAATAAATATTTTAATTATGATAAACATTTTAATCACATATGAAAAAAAAGAGTAATATTATAAAATTCAAATGAAATTTAAAAAGTTGCAATCCAAATCAATGTTATCAGAATCGAACCGGTCATCGAATCGGCAAGGGGGCCGGGTCAATGGTTCACTGATTCAATTGTTGGGTCAACTGGTCGGATCGGTTATATAATAAAAAAATAAAAATATATATATAATAATTATAAAACTTAATAATTTAGCTAAAAAATATAAAATATGTATAAAATACATAAAATTTGCCATAAAATTAATGAAATTAAGTAACAAAGTGGGGGTTATTGTATTTTAAAGCAAAGTAAAGAGGTTCAAGTAAATTATAAAGAAAAAGAAAGGGTGTCATTTATAATTTATCCAAGAATAAGGTTAAAAAAAATCAGTTATTTACTGATTTAGGGCAAAAAAATTTATTTATGTAATTTAATTTTTAAATAGGCATTAAACTGTTCGATTTTTATAAAATCGGCGGTTCACGATTTTTATTAAAAATCGGCCAATTTTTTGGTTTTTAGTCGGTTTGCTTCCTTAGGCGGTTCAACTAAGGAACCGAACCAGTTAGCGTCCTGGTTCACGGTTGAACCGGTCCGACCAGCCGGTTCTGATAACACTGATCCAAATGCATATTATTTTTTGGATGAGTGGGTCCTATCAATTTTTTATAATGGAGCTTACTTATCTCACACTCATCTAAGAGATGACATACATTTAGATTACAATTTTTTTTAATTTTATTTGAGTTTTGTAGTATTTAATAATCTTATCAATTTATAATCGTTCGTGTTGAATTTGTGTCAAGTTCGTGTTAACGGATAGGAGTCGACAACATAACAACAAATATCTGTGAAATGGTGCCCAAATGAATATATAAATCTAATTATTTCGTGTGCAATCTGTGAAATTGAATTTTTAATTAATTCATTTTCAGACAGAGTTCAGCTTAAAGTGCTTTATCGGTAGAGTTCAGTAGGCACCACAACATGGGGTACTATGGGTTTGGAATGATCATGAGTTCGTGAAGGAAGAGGTGAGGGTTTTTGATTCAAATAGTTTCAATGGGATCGTTTACTCGAATGGCTGACACCTCATACCGTAGGCTAGCAATTTCCCCAACTGGTTGGGTCATTGCTATCTTCTTCTTGGATTCTATTTGAAGAAATTCGTCAAAGATTGATACTACCCATACATTTGTTCGTTCACATTACTGTGTAAAAGTGTCAAAACGAAGTCAATATTGCTTACGACAATGAACTGTGTGGCTATTATGGACCTTAGATAAATGAGAACGCTATTGTGCACCTTAGATAGAGGGAAATGTAATGCTCATCAGAAGGTAAATGGCTATATATATATACACCTTTGAGGCAGCATAGGTGGCTGTGACTGGGCAAAGTGGGTGGTCTGTTAGTTACAGAGCTGTTCTCCAAGACTTCTTGTCTGATAGTTTCTTTTATATTTGTTTTAATAGTCTCTTTTATATTTGTTTTAGGACTTCGTTAGATCTATGGACAAAAGAAAAAAAAGACAGACGTCTTCATGTGAATAAAACATAAATCCTCAAACACTGCCAGATAGAGAGATGGATTTCTTGAGTTCTGTACTATGTCTTCTGCTTACTATGATCATCTCTCTCTCTCCTCTCAGTTGTGAGAGGAAGGAAATCAAGTCCTGGAAAACTTCCACCAGGACCTGTCCGTTTCTNTGTCTGTTAGTTACAGAGCTGTTCTCCAAGACTTCTTGTATGATAGTTTCTTTTATATTTGTTTTAATAGTCTCTTTTATATTTGTTTTAGGACTTCGTTAGATCTATGGACATAAGAAAAAAAAGACAGACGTCTTCATGTGAATAAAACATAAATCTTCAAACACTGCCAGATAGATAGATGGATTTCTTGAGTTCTGTGCTATGTCTTCTGCTTACTATGATCATCTCTCTCTCTCCTCTCAATTGTGAGAGGAAGGAAATCAAGTCCTGGAAAACTTCCACCAGGACCTGTCCGTTTCTGGTCATCGGAAATTGAAAGAACTTGGTAACAAGCCGATAAGTCTTTGGCAGAGCTTGCCAAGACATATGGCCCCATTATGACTCTAAAATTTGGCTGCATAATCACTGTAGTCATATCGTCTGAAACAGTGGCCAAAGAAGTCCTCCAAAAGCATGACCTTCTCTTCTCAACTCGAGCTGTCCCTGATTCGATCCACGCAAAACAACACAACGAAGTATCAATGGTTTGTATACAGCTTCAACTCTGGCGAAACTAGTGAAAGATTTGCAATTCCCATATATTGCAAATCATTGATACTTCATTGTGTTGAGAAGGAAAGCGTCATGCTTTTGGAGGCTGTCCGACGCCTAAAAGTACAAGAACTCCTTGCCTACGTTCATGAGAGCTGCCAAGCTGGTGTTGCAGTCCATATTGTCCAAGCAGCCTCTAGAACTACCCTCAACCCATTATTGACAACAATTTTTCCATTGATTGGGCCGACACCAATTCAGGTACTGCACGAGAGTTTAAGGAGGTGGTGAGGAGTAACATGGAAGTGGATGGAAAATCCAAGTTGGTGGATTACGTTCCTGTGCTAAAATGGATTGACCTGCAAGGTATAAGGCTTCGCATGACTGGATTCTTCGGGAAGGTGATAAGCGTCTTTGATAGTGGATCAAAACACATTGCTATCAAGGAAAAATCTTGTTTTTCTTCTAACAGAAGATGTACTGGATATTCTTCTCGCCAAAGAGGACAGTTAGCATTTGATACTGGTTAGTACCACATCTTATATCTCTTTCATTTCCCCTTTAGCGGCATGCTAATCTTTTTTTTGTTCTTCTGCAATTTGCAATGACCAATTTGCTTCTTTATGATAATTACCATCTATTAAGAAATATAGGGTTAGTGTTATTTTATTTATTAAGGGTAGAATAGTCTTTTACTTTTTCTACCTTGTTTAGCTTATATATAATCTCTTTGTATTTAGGTTAAATGATTCCCTTGTATTCAATTAAATTATGTAGTATTAATAAAACTCTAGTCTCCTCTCTTTCTTATCTCTTGTATGTCTTTAGATCGTTTAACACCATCATCTCAAACAAACTCTTTCTCGAGCTCCTTGTCTTGTGAAAGTTTTATCTTCTTGAGGTCGAGGGTTCAAGTCCCCTTCCTCCCCTCCCCCTCTCCCAAAAAAAAAAAATGGCGCAGGATTCATGATTCTCTTGTTTGTGTTGTTTCAGGAATTCATGTTTACATTTTCAAACGGAATACCTGATTAAAGGCATATCTNAGCCTATTTTCCCAACACTTATATGATTCGACTTCTGTCTTCTTTATGTATTTTTCAGAATATGTGACCATTCATATATCCATAATAGTATATTTCTATGCACATGCACGTTTATTACATACTACATGCATAAGTGGGAGTGAAGGACATGTAACGCTAATTTTCTGTGCCTGTTTTGTATGCTCTCTGTTCTGCTTACAATGACACAAACCGGACATTTTGTCACAGGGCCTATTCGTAGCAGGAAGTGAGACAACTTCAAGCACATTGGAGTGGACACTGGCAGAGCCACTTTGCAACCCTATGATTCTTTTGAAAGCTCGAGAAAAATAGAGCTAACCATTGGCATAGACATGTCAGTGGAAGAAGCAAACATTACCCGGATGTCTTGTTTACAAGCAGTTGTGTTAAGAAACCTTCCAGTTGCACCCACAAATTCCTCACTCCCTGGCAAAGCTGCAGCAGATGTGGAGCTCTTTTGCTTTATAGTCCCAAAGGGTGCACAAACGTTATAAATGCATGGGAAATAGGGTGAGATCCAAGTGCATGGATGAACCCCAATTCATTCATTCCTGAGAGGTTCTTGGGGTTGGAGATTGATGTCAAGGGACAACATGTTGGACTGATTCCCTTCGGTGCAGGAAGGCAAATCTGGCCAGGTCTGCCCTTGGCCCTCCAGATGTTGGCTTCACTCCGGATGTTGCACTTGATGGTTGGCTTCGCTCGTTCACTCCATTACTTGGAAGCTTGAAGATGGATTCGCTGCAGAGGATATGGACATGGAATACAAGTTTGGGCTTATCTGCGGAAGGCTCACAACCTACGTGCTATCCCAATGCAAGCGTAAATGCTTAGTTTAAGAATAATCAAAAAATTGCCTTCTGAAAAGAAAAAAAAGGCCTTGGCTTGTACTATGTGATATCTCATGCAATGGAATCTAAATTTTGTACAAGATCTGTCATCTTTTGCTAGTTCAAGGTCTATGGTAAGTTTCTTCAAGCACACACATTGATTCACAAGGTGAAAGTTATCAGAGGTGAAAGGAAGAAAGCTATGGGATGAACAAAATTTTATGATCTACTATAGATGGATGTAAATGGTTATAAGTGTGTTGACATTTGGGCTGCCTGTCTGGTTTCGTCACTCAGGTATTCTTGTGTTTATTGGTTTTGTGACTTATTGGACATGTTCTCCCATCATTAACTTCCCGCAAGCATGCCATGAGTAAGGGTGTGGTTGCTTGTCAACTTTTGCAGGACTTCTAAAGTTGACTTAAAGAGACACAAAGTTTTTTAGGAGGGTGGAGATGAAATTGATGAAAAAAAGTTACTGTTACTTTAATTTTTATTGTATGTTACTTTCCAATGTTATTGTTTTAGGTCACTCTCCAATTATGTTCATCTCCAGATTTCTGGGTTAATTATTTTAAAATTATTTTTGAAATATTATTATTCAATTTTACTGAACAATTTCTATATATTGCTGTTGAAAATGAACATTGAAATTTTCAATGTCACTATTATATGTTACAATTGAATGTCACTATTTTATATCACTACCTAATTATGTTTATAACGTTATACTCTTATATGTTATTGTCCATTTCTATGTATTGATGTTAAAATTGAACATTGAAATTTTTTTATGTCGTTATCGAATGTTATTATCAAATATTATTGTTTGATGTTACTGTTCAATCATGTCAAACATGTATATTATGAGAGAGAGAGAGAGAGAGAAATAGTCATAATTTAGAAAAAAAATCTAAAATTAAAGAAATTAAATTTTGATTCAGTCTTAAATTTGGTCACATTTGTATGTGTGTATCTATGTGTATATATATATCTACATAATAAAACAGATAACAACTTGAATTTTTATCTTTTACATATTTTTTCCTCTAAAAATATCACGTCACTCATTTCTATTACATGTTTAATCATTTCTATATTTTCTCCCTAAAAACATCACATCATTCATTTTTATTATATGTTTAATAATTTAATATTTGATTAATTTATAGTTAATATAAATTTTATTTCAAACATTATCCATATACGATGGTATACACATGTTGAAAAAATTTAATATAGTAGGATTGATTTTTTGAACGTTCAAATTTTATATTTTTATCGTGCCTTCAAACACGATATATATATATAAANTGTTATTTTATTTATTAAGGGTAGAATAGTCTTTTACTTTTTCTACCTTGTTTAGCTTATATATAATCTTTTTGTATTTAGGTTAAATGATTCCCTTGTATTCAATTAAATTATGTAGTATTAATAAAACTCTAGTCTCCTCTCTTTCTTATCTCTTGTATGTCTTTAGATCGTTTAACACCATCATCTCAAACAAACTCTTTCTCGAGCTCCTTGTCTTGTGAAGGTTTTATCTTCTTGAGGTCAAGGGTTCAAATCCCCTTCCTCCCCTCCCCTTCTCCCAAAAAAAAAAAAAAGCGCAGGATTCATGATTCTCTTGTTTATGTTGTTTCAGGAATTCATGTTTACATTTTCAAACGGAATACCTGATTAAAGGCATANGTGAATCTCAACGTGTAATCTTATACGGAACTTGACACACCTCATACATATACGATCATTGAAGTCCGAAAATCGATTGACGGTCTTCTCCTGTGCCGGAGCACCACAATTTCCGGCTTCGATCACGTACCGGTGAGCCATCAAATACCTTATATATGTATATATGTTTATGTTTTTATATCATTTAGAATACAATTNATGAATCTCAAGGTGTAATCTTATACGGAACTTGACACACCTCATACATATACGATCATTGAAGTCCGAAAATCGATTGACGGTCTTCTCATGTGCCGGAGCACCACAATTTCCGGCTTCGATCACGTACCGGTGAGCCATCAAATACCTTATATATGTATATATGTTTATGTTTTTATATCATTTAGAATACAATTAATTAACAGCTAATTTGTGGATGATTAGATTTTATTTGTTGGTTGGAGGTCTTAAATATTTGAATTTTAATCTTTAATAAACTTGAAGATTTTTTTTTTGTTTTTATAAGATTTTCCATTGCGGCAGGGTTTTTTTTTTTTTTTTTTTTAATCATTGGTTTGTTTAACTAATTTTTAAAATTTTTTATTAATTTTTTTTTTTAATNTCGACAATATTAGATATCTTGGGTATGTTGGGGAAATAGACTGGCATCTTCTCGATCGCATTTTACCCCACTGTACAGTTGACCAGCTGATACACATTGAGAATTCAACAGAAGTAAGAGACTTTTTCCTGCATAGTCTTTTAGAAAGATGTATCTTGGTTTGGATTTGCAGTACTTCTGAGTTGCATATTTTGTTGGGTTCTTGCAGGAAAGAGATCTTAGTCCAGTAACTGATAAATTGTGGAAGAGATTTTATGAGATACAGTTTGGTGCTAAGAGCACCAATCTTGTGGTTGAGAGGATGAAACAGAAGAAAGTAACTTTCAGATGGAAACAATTGTATGAGGTGATCCATAAATTTTCCCTCTTATCTAATGTTAGCTGCACATTGCGTTAGCTATCTATGTCTTGATTGTGTCTGGTGATTAGCAGATTAGTCATTATTATTTTTATTATCACCTGTAATTTTCGTGGTGCTTGAATGCAGTGAATTACATGATTTCAACTAGATTGATTTCCTTGCAGGCAAAGTCAAAGAATGTGGAGGAAATTCAGCAAAAGTCATTTGATAGAATAAAACAACTGTATAAAAAAGAAGATGCTCGTAAGTTCTTTATCATGGAAATTATATTTTGAAAAAGGTTATATGCTGCTATTCATATTTTTATATTGTTTTTAATTATTTCTTTGTAGTATCCATGTGCATGTATTTACAAATTTTGTTTCATTTTCGGAAGTAAACATAGGTTGGGCTAGTTTAGAACATATTATAGATGGGAGTTTCCTTCCTCCTAGTTGCTAGGTAGATCTGTAGCTTGTTGTCATTCATTTCCTAGTGGGAAGTTTATAAGAAGATTGGACAGAAGAAATTAGATGGATCAAGAAGTTCCCCTTAGAACTGAATATCTGGCGCAACCTTTACACTTGGAGGTCTTAATTCTTGTTGTTATACTGTGCGTATAGATCTGCGAGTGCTTTGCATGATGGTGGTGGAGACAGGTTATGGATAATCCATTCAATCTTCTTTTTTTCTTTCTTCTTTTTTTTTCTAAATTTAGTTTCTATGTTTTCTTGTGACTTGAATATATGTGTATTGTTATTGTTTCCCTGGTGACTATGCATAGTGTATCTTGTACTTTTTATAATGCTTTATGAGCCAGTCATATCTCGAATGAGCTTGTAGTTGCATACTGATAACACCCTGAATCTGATTTATGTTCTTTTTCCTTTTATACATTCAAAACTTGATAAGTACCAGAAGAAAATTGTTACTTTAAATTTGCACTGCGAGTTATATAATTATATCATTGGCGCTCTAAAAGTACACTTCTACTTAATATAAATATATGAAGTTTGATGGATGGCTTATGTCCTACCTTTGTTTTAAGTTCATATAAGTTGCTTATCCTATGAATGAACCTGCCAATCCATGGTAGTAGATCATTGGACTTATTTTTCCTGCTAGAAAACTGAAATGTTACTACTTTTTGTCATTAGGGGCCCTGGCACGGCACGGATTGCTGGCTGGCAGCTTATTACTTTCAAGTTGTATACAGTAATTTATTGGAGGAAAAATGGAAAAGTCTTGAAATACATGCAAAAATGTTGATAGTAAAGAGAAATTAATCTCAGATGCCTATGCCAACATTGAGGTTTACTTATAAAGAGAATTCTCTAGGCTTGCTCCATTTTGCATCATTAGCACCTATCTGCCTTGCTGAAATGAAGTACTTTCTGTGTGTGTGTGTATCTCTATTTTTGGATAAAGTGCTCTAGAACCTATATACGAGCATGCACGCATTGGGATGTCATTTTTCTCTGGTGATTTAAATTTCAAGGCACTAGAGAAAATACTGCTTCATCAGGTCAGAGGGAGGGGTGAAAAGGGGGGGCGTGTGGGTGGGGAATTTGAAGCCATCCTCAACCTGAAATTGGAGCTTGTGACTTATGGAAATATTTGGACATACCATGTACTGATTTTTCTCTATTCACTCTCTTCATTAAATTGGCTAGGTTTCAGTGGGTAATGCTGTGAATGCTCTTTCTATCATGCGCCTGTTACTTGCACTTATTGAGCACAAATGTTGTTGATCTGGCATAGATGCGATTTGTGTTTGTTTTTCACAAATTTAAAGTTCTTATAAATTGATGTATGATGTTATAACTTATTTTAGGAAAACAAAGTCGGCAAGTTCGGATTTGCACAAAGGTTCCACCTTCAAGCTGTAAAAGAAGTTATTACGGAGGTAACTTATCCACTTCCTTTTGGCTTTGCTGTAGTCCAATGTAGTCTATTGGTCCCTCGCTTAAACAATGCTTAGCACCTTGCATCTACAGGCATTGCAAAGTGTTGGTGCTTTAAATACATATTCTGGTTATTTCATTTTAAAAAAAATGTGTAGGTGGACCTGGTAGCAGTGTATGCAATACAAAGAGCAACTTAATGAAGAAGGCAAAACTAGAGTTTCTTAACAGGTATGAAATTGTTTTCTAACTTGATGCATATATAGGGCTCTGAATTTCACATTTATGGCATGTTAAGAAGATGATTTTTTCTACGTTCCATATTTATATATATAAGATTGAAAGAATTTTTGGGTTCTTCTGATGGAGAATGACTAGTTTCTTGGCCTAGTACTGAAGCATAGACTCCCAGACATCGTTATTGGACATGTGGTTTTACTGGTAAAAGATGTGCCTCAATATCAATGTCGATGTCAAATACCATTTTTAATCCATGCACTTTTTTCTTTTTTGTAAAATCAAATATACATTTATAAATGTGTGCTGGATAACAATTGATCATCGTAAAAGTTTACTTTGTATATATCAGCATGACTTTGAATATTAACCGGCCTTCTTTCTCTTGAAACCGACTTGTACAACCACAATGTGCTAATGATGTCATGACTTTTTGGGGCCCCTTTTTTTTTTCATTTGGATGGGTTATTCAGGTGGTTAACTTCTCATTCTCCCTTTTAACAGCAAAGAGGTAAAGAATTTTTCAGCTATGAAGAAAAATGCAGTGCAAAGAAAGCATGGGTAAATCTCTTGTTTAACCATATCTACTCTACATTGAGAGACCTATCTGTAAATTCACATACAAATACTAATCAATCTTGCTTCTTGTCGTGCAGTCTCTCTTCCATGAGTAAGCCAGTTGGTTTTTCCGGGAATCCTTCTGCTTCAACTTCCAAACTTAGTAAGCCAACAGGAAGGAGAGTTTAGAAGGCCTACTGATTCTTGGCAATCTTGCTGAGTGAGTAGTGTTATCTACCATAATGTCATCTGTATCTTCTATTCGCAGTTTCATCCGAAAAGAATTTATCATATGGTGAATATCATTTACATTTCATCGTCTCATTCTCATTTCGCACTGCAACATTTTCACATGAATCATCATTGATGCATGAATCATCATTGATGCCTTGTATATTTGGTTGCTTTTTGCAAAGACATTGATATTTTCATTTTGGGGCAAACCTTAATACAGCCCTATCAAGGTTGAGGGAAAATAGAATGAAAATACTTAAAATATGAGTACTTCCTTAAGCAATTGTGATCACATATTCTATCTCCAAATACCAGGGGGAAACTTGTCTGGAAAAACAGCATGGCAACTCCTACAATATTTAGAATCTTTCGGTCACATGATTTTCAATTATATAGTCTTTTGTTGTCTCCAGCTGAACTATTCCTAACCTATGTTCAAAAGCTGGATATACTGGCTGCCGGAGCTAGGGGTTTTAATGGAGCTTTTGCTCGAGCTTGTCGATTTTGTTTGTCTAAATGAGATTAAAAAATTATTTAAGTTTGACTTGTTTAAAAACTAAATCGAGCCCGAGTAGTTCAACTATTTTCCATATAAAAGAGTT